TGATGCCCAAGAATCTTCATATCTATAAACCAAGCCTTAAGCCATAATAGAGCCTGCAGCCATGAACATTGATCTTTAAGTTATAATCAAGCATTGAGCCATAATCAATTCTCGAGCCATAACCAAGCCTTAAGTCATCATTAAGCTTTGAGCCATAATGAAGCCAGAAACCTTAAACAAGCCTTCAACCATGATTGAGCCTTAAGCCATGATCAAGCCTTAAGCCATAATTAAGCCTTGAGCCCTAATCAAGCTTTGAGTCATAACCAAGCCTTGAGCCTTGATCAACCCTTGAGCCATAATCGAGCCTAGAGCCATAACCAAGCCTTAAGCCATCATTAAGCCTTGAGCCATAATCGAGTTTGGAGCCATAACCAAGCCTTGAGCCATCATTAACCCGTTGACTGTCGTTGACGCATATTTATGGTTGAAAAAGGGAGAAATTTGAAAATTCAAAATGGAATTTTATCAGAGTGTCGACAGTATGAAGTATGAGTGTGTATTGTAAAGAGTGGGAACGAGTTCACAGTCCTTTAAAACTAAAGCATAAGCAGGTGTGGTCAGATTAATTAGTCGCTACTCGAAGTGACCTGCTCATTGTGTTTTAGCCGGTTCAGGTGGAACAGACTGGGTCTGCAAGTGCCCAATTCATGAGAATATTAAACTGTTGGCAACAGGTAAGAAATAAATCTATGTAACAATACTTTATTTATCAGAATTTTTTTATTAATTATTTTTATTTTATTTATTTTTATTATTTGTTATTTATTTGTTATATTTTTCAAAACTTAGAAGTACTGTTATTTACAGGAAGTAATCTTGCGAATTTGATGAAGACTGAAAACTTTCCGATTATTCATTTTGAAGACATTTTGTTAAACTTAATTTCTGTTAATTCAAATGAAAAATGTTATTTTGGGCAATGTGAAAATTGTCCATCTGATGAAACGTTTTCTACGAATATAACTGAGGTATTAAGGAAAAATAAAATTGATGAAATTAAATTTAAACAATGGGTCACGAAACTAAAAACGATGCTTGACACTACGACAGTGACAGCAAAAATTTTCGTTAAAAATTTGTGTTCATCAGCCAGGATCTTTCTTCATCATTCATTTATAGCTGAAAAACAAGCTTCCTTTTACACGAATCTAAAAAAAAATCTCAACAATGATGATAGTTTGATAGTGTGTGACTTTGCAGAAAATTATGGATTCGTTATACAGAATACAGTGCCCGGGTTTCATTGGAATAATAACCAATCAACGATTTTTCGTATTGTTTTTTTATTATAAGGAAAATGACTCAATAAAACATAAAACGTTGGTTATCATTTCCGATTGCCTGAAACACGACGCTATTGCAGTTTTTTTTCTTCAAGCGTTAAATGAATTTTTTACCCTTCATTATCCACAAATTTGTAAATGTATATATTTTTCGGTTGGGGCGCCTCAGCAGTTAAAAATGTTAAACATTTTACGAATATTTACTACCATAATGAGGATTTTGAACGCACAGCAGTTTAGCATTTCAACGCAACGGCCCATGGAAAAGGGCCTTGCGATGGAGCAGGCGGAACTGAGAAAAGGATGTCGCGAAAAGCAAGTATGCAAATTACTAATGACCAAATTACTACTCTTTCTGAATTATATGAATAAGCCAAAAAAGACTCTTCTCTTCCAAATATATCAGTGATGTATAGTAATACACGAGATTACGAAACAGATAATCTTTATCTTCAGAATCGATTCAGAAATTGTAAAACTTTTACAGGAACTCAATAACTTCACAGTGTCGAACCGGAAAAAAACTGTAACTTAAAAGCTAAGAAATTTTTATTTTCTACTAATTTCGAATTAGTATCCTTTTGTAAAGTAGAATCAAAACGAGCAATGCAACCGAAACGTCTAACACAATCACAACGTTCAACTCAACCTCAACGAGCAATGCAACCGAAACGTCCAACACAATCACAACGTTCAACTCAACCTCAACGAGCAACAAAGAGAAAATGATAATTAATCTAAGCATTAATAGTATTAAATACTGAACAGTATCAAGTTTTATTATTTAAAATATTTTAAGTAATACGTATTATAGTGGACAAATGTTAAACAAAATTAAAAAGTGATTCTTAAAACAATTCTTATTTTATTTTATAAATGGTTTGAGTAGAACGCGCGCGTAAATTTGCAAGCGGAAATTAAAAAATTATTTACACTCCTTAAGGGGGAGTGACACCTTTGATGCCTCTTTTGAACCTGTTTTTCATGAATTTTTTTAAGACACAGGAATAAAGTAAACAAAATTTGGTTTTGAGGGATTTATTTGTTAACTTTTTAAGTTCACAAAAATATATTTATACTTAAAAAAAGTTTAAATTTATTGCCAATAGAGGGCGCCGAAGTTGGTCTCCTCTCTCTGTAGATCAAATCGGTGGGCAAGTTTCTGGTTAGACCGTTTAATCTAAATAAAAATTTCAAAGTTTTTCTGAATCTGAGATAGATTTAGCTTTTGAATACGTAGGATATTTTAAAAATATTAATTTTGGTGTATTTGGCAGTTGTAAATGACGTTCAAAAAAAACTTTGTCCGAAGTCAATCCGATCAAAACTGTTCTAGCTAGACTGCCCACCGTTTTGAAAAACGTCATTTCGAGAAAAACGCGTTTAAAGTTTTGAAAGCACTTGAAGCGCTCTTGGACACCTTTTGCAGATTTTGATTTTTTTCACATAAAATAACTTCGAATTCATCTCTAATGATATAATTTCTATTCTACACATTATAAAGTATCGTTTAAGCAAGAGAAAAAAATGCGATTTTTTTTCGGGTCAAAGGTGTCACTCCCCCTTAAACGTATCAGGCCCACTCTGAAACTATGTGCAAAATCTTCTGCATGTTTTTAGGTAAGTATAAATAGTTATTTATGATACAAGTGCGTAAAATCGTTGATTATACGAGTGTGACGTTTGCAGCTCGAGCCGAAGGCGAGTGCTGCAAGTCACACAAGTATAATCTGATTTACGCACGAGTGTCATACAAAATTTTTTGCAACACTAAAACAACTAAACTTGCAGCAATATTGCCAATATTACTGAAAGTTTAGGTGTAGTGGGGGAACTGTTAAATGAAGTTTTCTAGAAGCTAAAATAAAAATGTGATTGTAAATTGTTGTTTAAAAGCTTTAATTCATGGTTTCTCATCAAACAGTCACAAGAATGCGTAAAGTAATCATTTTACGCACTGAAAATCACTTTACACACTGGAATTCATTTTACACACTGCTAGCGGTGTGTAAAGTAACACTTTACACACCGCTATAAAATGAAGTACTTTACACACAGTTTTCTGTGTGTAAAATTCAATTTTACAGGTTAGTGTTGCAAAAAAATTTTTTAAAAATCCTGCCCAAATTTACAAAAAGGTAATTTGTTTATAAAAAATTCAAATTTTTTTAAAAAGAATCAGGGACCGCTTCTAAAACAAAACTAAATAGAAATTACTTTCGTTTTAGTATTTGAGTTGACACGAAACTAAATTAACAAAGTGACTTTAGTTTCAAGTCGACACGAAACTAAATTAACAAAATGAGTTTAGTTTCGTGTCGACTCAAAACAAAAGACTGAAACACATAATTATTTAGTGTCAATCACAGAAAAATTGTTTCCCTTGTCATCCGTAACTAGAGCAAGGTAAGTAATTAATGTAAGTTACGTAACCAGAGTAAATTACGTAACTATAGTAATTTACATAATTAAAGGAAGTTACGTAACTAGAATAACTTACGTAACTAGAGTAAAGTACGTAACTACAGTAACTAGAGTAAAGTGCGTAACTACAGTAACTTGCGTAAATGGCCAAACTTACGTAAGTTACGTAACTAGAATAACTTACGCAATCAATCAAACTTACGCAAGTTACGTAACTTACGTAAATGGTGGAATTTACACCGTCAACTCAAATAATCACATTTACGTAAGTTACGTAACTTACATAAATGGTCAAAATTACTTCACTTACACAATTAATCAAACTGACGTAAGTTACGTAACTTACGTAAAAATGTACAAATATACTTAATTTTGTAAGTAATCAAACTTACGTAAGTTACGTAACGTACGTAAGTTTGATTAATTGCGTAAGTTATTCTAGTTTAGTAACTTACGTGAGTTTGATTAATTGCGTAAGTTATTCTAGTTACGTAACTTCCTTTAATTATGAAAATTACTATAGTTACGTAATTTACTCTGGTTACATAACTTACATTAATTACTTACGTTGCTCTAGTTACGTAAGTCAGGGGAAAGAATTTTTCTATGATTGACACTAAATAATTATGTTTTTCAATCTTTTGTTTTGAGTCGACACGAAACTAAATCTAATTTATTAATTTAGTTTCGGGTCGACACGAAACTAAACTCAGTTTGTTAATTTAGTTTCGTGTCGACTTGAAACTAAAGTCACTTTGTTAATTTAGTTTCGTGTCAACTCAAACACTAAAACGAAACTAAACTTTCGAGACGGTCCCTGAAAAGAATTCATAATTCTTTTTACTACATAATTCAAAGTCGAAAAAAAGCAAATTTTTCATCTCTTGGAAAAAATTTTCTACATCCAATAATTTTCGAGTTATTTGCATTTGAAAATAGGTCTATTTTCGATATCCCAAAATTTTGAAAATTCATAACTCAAAAATTTGGCCTCAAAAAAAAATACGTATCTGTTTTTTTCAATACAGAATAGAAAAAAAATATTTTTGGCCGATTCTAAAAGGTCGACTAAAATCACACGTGGAATTGCCCATATGTTTGGCATCTGTTTTAAAATATTTAAATGCAATTTACTATGAAATCAAGAAAAAGTAAAAAAATAAAAATTTATTTTACACCTAATAATTTATTCTTATAATATTTAAATTACACTATTATTTTATAAATAAAATATATTCAATTTAGGAGTAAATCGTATTATAATGATTAAAAAGTGAAAATTTGATGTACCTGAGGTAGTCCCGTTTGCAAAGTAAAAGATTTGCTTTTGTGTATAGAGTAGAACCTACTTCCCCAAGTCTGCAGTCACAGCATCCACACTTTAAACAGTCTTCGTGCCAAAGCATATCCAGTGCTTTTAGTAAATACCTTTTAAAAAATAATTAAGACTTAAATATAGTTTTGGTAATAACTCGACGGAAATTTTTTTGATTTTATTTTAATAGTACGGGAGCATCCATAAACCACGTAGCTCCGATTTTTGAACTTTTCGACCCCTCCCCTCCCCCACGTAGCTTAACGTAGCATATTACCGAACCCCCTCCCCCCTACCTAATGGAACGTAGCTTTTTCTTTTTTTGAATATTAAAATCTCTTTTCTAAAAATAATCAATAAAATCGTATTGAAACATAGTAAACAATATTAAATGTTTTTAAATCACAGTTTATTTTTTTGTTTTGACAAGTAAGAGTTTGATACAAGACTAATTCTTAATTTTAATCAATATCTATCCCTATTAATATAAAATCATATCGCCGCCGCCGCTGTTTCAGAAAGTTTTAAGGGACCCTTATAGTAGGGGGAACATAGTCAAGGTTGGCCCACTGTCAAGGTAGGTCCATCGTCAGAAACAAGTTATATTTGACCTAAATTCAGGTCAATTTAAGGGCAGTTTTAACCTACAGGTCAAAATTACTCAAAATTTAGGTCAATTTTAAGGGCAGATTCAACCTACAGGTAAAAAACTAACAAACTAACCCCTCTGCCCTCAAAATTTAAGTCAATTTTAAGAGTAGTTATGACTTAAAGTTAAAAATTGACAAACTTATCGCTCTGCTTTCAAAATTTAGTTCAATTTTAAGGGCAGTTTTGACCTAAGCGTTAAAAATTGCGTTTTACTCTGCCCGTAAAATTTATGTCAATTTTAAGGGCAGATTTAACCTACAGGTAAAAAATTGACAAACAATTCCCTCTGCCCTCAAAATGTAGGTCAATGTTAAGGGCAGTTTTGACCTAAACGTCAAAAATTCACAAATAATTCCCTCTGACCTCAAAATGTAGGTCAATTTTAAGGGCAGTTTTAATCTACAGGTCAAAAATTAACAAACAATTCCCTCTGCTCTCGAAATTTAGGTTAATTTGAAGGGCAGTTTTAACCTACAGGTAAAAAATTGACAAACAATTCCCTTTACCTTCAAAATGTAGGTCAATTTTAAGGGCAGTTTTGACCTTAACGGAAAAAATTGACGAACAATTCCCTTTGCCCTCAAAAATTATGTCAATTTCAAGGTCAGTTTTTTTTCATATATATATATATATATATATATATATATATATATATTTATATATATTTATTCCACATGAAAAGGGCCTATATTGTCGGTTGTAGTTTTCGAGATAATCGCAATTTAGTAATTTTGGAGCAAAATCTTAATTTTTAAAAAAATTTTATTATCAATCTACATGTTTTGACAAGTCGAATCATGCGGTTTTCATTAATTTATCGATAATTTAACTGTTTGATTTCATTAGTTCTTTAGAAAAATGAAAAGGGTCCATTTTGGCGGTCATTTGCAAAAGTAATCCGTATTTTAAAAATGGAGGTGTGGAAAAAATTTAAAACCTCTTGATTTTTCATCTTTAAGGTGTCCTGGACTGTAAACAATTCTTATCTGAATAAGTTTCTAGAAGAACCAGAGATATTGATGTTAGAGTCTTTTTTTCGTAATTGTCGAAATGAAAATTTGGATATTACGTTATTTTTTCATAATAGAAACTGTCAAAAATTTTTAAATAAGTTATCTAATATCTATTCTTTTTCTTCAATGACACAATAAAATTGTACCTAATCATTAATCTTGTAAAAAAATGGTTCTTTAATAGAAAAACTGTCCTTTTTAGAAAAAAAAAGTTTTTCGTATTTTCAAAATTAAGAGGGGGGGATGGTTTTAAAAATTTAAAACCTGTTGGTTTTTTATCTTCAAGGTAACCGTTTTTCTCGAAATGAGGTTTTTGGCGTTCTAAACTTTTAAATTCCGTAACTCAGCGATTTTTTAACCAAAAAAGTTCTAAGACCACTCAAAATTTTCCAAATTTTGCCAGAAATACCTGGCAATTGCCCTTCTCATGTGGACGTCCACATATATCTCTCGAATTGACTTTCGAGCTGCCCCCGTAATTTCAAAAAAATGTATGTCAAATAAAAATACAAAGCTACGTTGCTTAGACTCAAAACCCTCCCTCCCCCCATGTGGTCTAACGTAGCACATTACCGAAACCCCTCCTCCCCCAAACCAGGCTACGTGGTTTATGGATGGTCCCTACCTAAATAAATGTTTACACACCCTAAAAAAAGTAATTTCATATTTAGAGGAAAAATCCTCTTCTAATATCCTCTTAGTTTTTCCTCTTAAACAAGAGTTTTCTATTTAAATGTAGAATATCTTTATTCTTTGGTAGTTAATAATAAAAAAAAACTGAAAAAAATGTAGTCGAAAAATGTAACTATGTACCATTATGTAGTTGAGTGGAAAGCAGTTAAATTAATTACTTGTTTAATTATTCTAACAATGTTTATGTAGTTTATTTTATTATTTTTGATGTAGTTAAAAAATAATAATAGTTCAGTTTACTAAAAAAAGTAGTTAAATTGCAAAAACAATTGAAGCGTGCGCTGTAACAAAGCGTTAAACGCCAATTTTTCTTAGGTTAGATTCGCATCAAATTTATTTACAATATATGGTTAAATCAGTAAAAAATTCTTAATTAGTTACATTATGATAATTACAAACAATTTTTTATTATTAATAAACTGATATTAATTATTGATATTTAGTTCTGAAAGTTGAAGTTAGTGTCGTTTTGGCGAATACATCTTTGTTACAGCGAACTCTTCAATTACAAAATTTGATTGCATTAACTACATTCTTAGTTCTCTTAACTACTTTTTGGTAGTCAATACAACTTTTTAAATTCAGTTGAGGACTTATTGAATTATTAAGAGTAGTTAAAACAAAATAAGTATAGTTGATAAGTAGTCAAATTTAAAAATAGAAATTTTGTTGACTGTAGGGGAGACTGGGGTAAACCCACTAAAAAAATGAAAAAGAATTTTTAATTTATCTTGTTTAGTTTTACTTAGAGATACTTTTTAATACACATATACCAAATTTCGAAATCACAATTTTCCAGGGTAAATCCGCTCACTTTATCTTTTCAAGACGGAACTTGGTCAAGCTTTGGTTTTTTTTTATTTGGGAAAAACAATTGACTTTAAAAAAATAGCTTATTTTTAAGGAATGAAAAAAGTGTAACCTTGAGTGGACCACTCTCAAAAAATTGTAAAAGTTATTCTTAATTCTTTAATGTATTTAATATTTCTAATATATTGAAACAACATTTACGCTTATGCAGCTTCAGATAATGTTTGTGTCGCAATGTTTACAAGTGAAACCATTTTCAATAATTTTGGCACATATCACATCAAAATCACAAAAAAATTAATAAAGAACATAAAACAGTTTCAAACCAATTTATTGTCAATTTATTTCCATAAAAATAGTAAACTGACATTAAAAATATAAAAAACAGGCAGTCTGCTCATGGTTATAAACAGTGGTCCACTCATGGTGACATGCAACTTTTTATAGCAGACACCAACATTTTTTTTTAGTCAAAATTATCACTTAATTAAACTAAGACAATCAATTTCAATGTCCAAAGTAGTAGGAAAAAAATAAGTTACCTTTTAAAACTTAAATTTTACACTACTTTTACACTTCCGAATCACTTTACTCATTGTAAGAGCGACTTCTTCTTTGGTTTGTGTTCTTAAAAATGCGTTACATCAAACGATAACGTATATTATTATCGCGGAACATAAATTCTTACGATTTCTAGGTGCGGTGCTGCTATTCGTTTTATTTATTTCACGTTTCCGCTGTCAGATAACTTAAAAGCTCAGGTGGTCCACTCAATGTGACATTACCCTAAATAATGTTATATTTTATTAAGAGAAAGTGTAATGTAGTTATAATTTTGGTTTTAACAAGTCATGAATTGTGTTATTGTTAAAATATAATACGTGAAATTATTTTATTCTAAATTTAAAATTTAAAACTAAGTGAGCGGCTTTACCCCGAGTGTATTCCTCACATTTCAGAATGAATTTAATTAAATCTTTTTGAATTAAACTAAACTATATGTATGTACTTCGAAGAACGACATCCAATAGCAACAAAAAAAATTTGCCAAATAAATTAAGACTCAAAAATAATGATCGAAAAACTTAAAAATCCAAAAAACGTTTTTTCTTCTGACACCTCTAAAAACATTTGATTAGTATTCTTTGTTGAATTCATGAAACTAAATGAAAGTTCGTTAATATAAGTTGAATGTTAAGTAGGGGAGGATGAGGCAAGGATAGTTAGGTAAGACCTTTTTGGATCTAGCGGCCAAACTTGAATATGTATCTGCAAACGAAAAGTATTTTTGGAAAGCCTGGTTATTTGACTATAAATTTGCTATACATTATTTTACTGTAGACTTAAATCCCTACGAGATACGGATGAAAAAGTAAACAAAAATTTTTAACTATCCTTGCCCCAGCACCGGAGCAAGGATATTATATTATTATTATTATTATATTATTTTATTCGATTTAGACTATTCAATACACTGGTTTACAGTGAAATTGTCAATTGAAAAAAACAATTTTTTTTCGAATAGTAGGTGTTTCTTGAGTAAGAAAATCATAGTTTTAATTTTTTTCCCTCGTGCAGTTTTTCTGTAGCTTCAAATTTTGCATTTTCGAGGTGCGACGCCACTTAAACTTACCTGTAGGAAAATTAGCTTGTCAAAATATAATAAATGAGGTATCATTGGAAAGGTTATTAAATTACCTTTCGATCCATAGGTCACAGAATAAAATTCAACAAAAATTGAGAGAGTTACAGTCGATTAAAGATGAAATTTCATGACAATTTTGATGATTTTTAGACATTTGAGTAACTTCTACTATTTTTTTCTACATCAAACAGGAAAGAATGTTTAGGTTTTAATTTTTTTATTGATAGACTATATCATTACACAAATTTTGAGCCCTTGTGGACCTCGATTGGATTAAAAATGACAATTCTACACTAAATTTAGTGAACGAAACTACATTCTTCATTTTTAGTATCCCTTAAACATTTGCAGCAAAAATTGAAGTAATAAAATTTAGTTAAGCTCTAAAGTTACTAAAATCACTAATAAAGGATTTCTGAAATCGTAGATTTCGAATCCAATGTTAGTTTTCTAAATTTCAAAATGGCGGATCCAATATGGCGGACAAGTTTTTAAAAATCGATTAAATTCGTCTTAAATTCGTTACTCGGGGGTTTTCGGGGTCGCTGATTACGAATCTGATGTCAGATTTCAAAAATTAAAAATGGCGGATCCAATAGGTGCGAATTCGATGGATTTTAAAAAACTCGTCCACCATTATGAATCCATCCTTTTCAATTTTCGAAATCCGACATCAGATTCGTAATCAGCGACCCCGAAAACCCCCGAGTAACGAATTTAAGACGAATTTAATCGATTTTTAAAAACTTGTCCGCCATATTGGATCCGTCATTTTGAAATTTAGAAAACTAACATTGGATTTGAAATATACAATTTCAGAAATCCTTTATTAGTGATTTTAGTAACTTTAGAGCTTAACTAAATTTTATTACTTCAATTTTTGCTGCAAATGTTTAAGGGATACTAAAAATGAAGAATGTAGTTTCGTTCACTAAATTTAGTGTAGAATTGTCATTTTTAATCCAATCGAGGTCCACAAGGGCTCAAAATTTGTGTAATGATATAGTCTATCAATAAAAAAATTAAAACCTAAACATTCTTTCCTGTTTGATGTAGAAAAAAATAGTAGAAGTTACTCAAATGTCTAAAAATCATCAAAATTGTCATGAAATTTCATCTTTAATCGACTGTAACTCTCTCAATTTTTGTTGAATTTTATTCTGTGACCTATGGATCGAAAGGTAATTTAATAACCTTTCCAATGATACCTCATTTATTATATTTTGACAAGCTAATTTTCCTACAGGTAAGTTTAAGTGGCGTCGCACCTCGAAAATGCAAAATTTGAAGCTACAGAAAAACTGCACGAGGGAAAAAAATTAAAACTATGATTTTCATACTCAAAAAACACCTACTATTTGAAAAAAAATTGTTTTGTTCGATTGTCAAAAAAAAGTTTTTAATTTGTAAACCTGTGATATTGATATCTGAAGTATTAACAATATGTTTTGAACATTTTCTGAATTTTAATTATTGCACTAAAATTCGTCTGAACTTAAATGTCAGTTTTAACCAATTTTCTTCAGACAACTACCAATTTCTTGGTCAATAAGCTTTGTTTTCTGTATATAATTACGCACTATTATGTATATTAGCCTAAAAAGAACAATTAAACATTTTTTTATAATTTACAGTCGCATTAGCAGGCTTGTACCGTGCCATATTAGCTCTAACTATCCTTGCCCCGTGGGGGAAAAAGGAGCCCACATTTCAATTTTTCCTAATTTTTTGTGAAACGACGTGAATTTAATTGAAAATAAATACGATATTCGCGTTCAGCAGAAAATTCCACTCCGGAAAACACTTATGTAAATAAATATTCGGAAGCACTAATAAATAAACTCAAAAACAGGTGTTTTTTAAAAATAAACTCCTAACTTCGCAAATGGTGTCAGATTGACTTCCAATTTTTACTATCATCTTTTGGTGTTAAGAAGCGAAAATATCATGAATGACGCGCTAATTTGAACAAGCCGTTTAAGCAATACAGCCACTAACTATCCTTGCCCGATCCTCCTCTACTATTCACAGTACCAATATCTCCATCTTAAGTGTAGTTCATAGCGTCAAATCGCTAGTAAGCGGGTTTACCCCAGTCTCCCCTAATGAAATATTTTAATTATTTATACCTCTCTGTTATTGCTTTTCCACAACCAGCACATTCTTGTTGAGTAGCACCATTTCTATTCGTTTCAGTCTTAATTCCATCCATAGTCATGTTTCTCGGTTGTAGTTTATCAGTCTGAAATCAGAAAGTAAAAAAAATATAAAATATTTATTAAATAATATGCATATTATTATAAATGTAAATTTAACATTTTTAAACATTTAAAAATGGTGAGAACTCTTTTTAATAGGATGATCAATTTATTTTATAATGCATAACTTTCCAAGCCACAGTTTTTCTAAAGTAATCAATCTGAGATAAGGAACGTATAAAAACGTTGTAACGTTTTTTTTAACAAATAAAATTTTATCTTAATTTACGCATTTTTCTGATTCATAAAATAAAATCACTCATGAGGAGGTAACGATTTCATGAAATTAACAGAAAAATTTCTGCTTTTACTTTTTAGGGGATTTAAATTTGTGACTATTAAAAATTTAATTTAAATTTGTATTACCGTCACTTATACCGACGCCCTGTGTACTTTTATTTTTGAAGCGTCAAGACGCCATTCATTCTAGTTTCACATTTTATATTGAATAATGTTATTCAAAATTACCATATTATTGAATTTAATATACAGTCCAGTAGAGAAGAAACAGTGGCATTGAATGTAACAGGCTTTTAAAGTAGTGAGGGTCAGTGTTATAGTCAGACATCACAGTGTGTCTGAGTTAGATCTGAGTGAAAGATTCTTGCACTTCAAGCCAAGCAGCAAATAATATTACTGTAATATTAAAATGTAAGCCTGCTGGACATATTTCCGGAAAGTCACAGTAATGTTACTGTAATATTACACAAATATAAAAAAATTTCAATTAAGTATGATGAAGAAAAGGAAAACTTCTCTTCTTTAATCATTAAATATGTATTTTGCTCTCTAAATTTAAATTAGTAAAAATGTTTTCTAATTTTAATTATTAAATTTGACTAATAAATAGTAATTTCTACTATTTTAAACGTAAAACTCACCAATTTAAATTTAGAAAGTATTGTAATTTTTATTCACTTATATAACCGTGTAATATTACAGTAATATTGCCGCGTAATATTATCATCAGGTGGACATTTTAATATGACTGTAATATTACGTGCTATTTGTGAAAGTTTCTTGCGTATTTCGAATATGGTAGGTACCTGGAATACTATAAATTAAAAATGACAATTATTTTAATTGAAGCCAAAGTTTTAAGAAATTCCTCAAAGGTATCTAACGCTTTTACATATTTTAGTATACTTAAATTTATAACAACACATAGAAGAACAATTATTTAATAAAGAAGAAGCAGAAAAAGACAATACTTAATTTTTTTACAGAAATTTTAAATAACACAATTTTTAAAAAAAAGTTACTTATTTTTTATTTTTATATTGCAAATATTTTAAAGATATTAAATATGACCCTTTCAAAGATCGTAGTCTACAAAATATTATTATTTATTTAGAAACCTATACAAAGATCATGCAGAATATACAAAATTTAGTAACCTTCGTCTTTAAGAAATCTCTACGTGAAATTCTGTGTTAAAGAATTTGACGCAAGAAAGTCAAAGCTTCCTTGGTGCGACTTATTTATTTTATTTATAAATCAAGATTCCGCAGTCCTATTTGACTATAAATGGAAAACGAGATAAGGATACAAATATTAAGAAAATAGAACAGTTTTCGAGATTTAGTTAAATTTCAATTTTTTGAGTTTCGACAAAAAGTGGATTCACTAATTTACCATTATTTCTGAATGTACCCTAGTAGAAATTTGTCCTAGTTATTATAAAGGAACTGTCCAGTCGCGCTTGAAATTGTCAAGATAAATTGTCTTCGGGAAATTTCTCATTCGGGAGGGAGTCTTTCGGGAACTTGGATTCGGGAATATGGCCGCGAACCTACTTTACTGGCAAACTGGCTAATAACTGGAATGGAGTGTCACGCTTTTTTCATCAAGTTATTATGTAGCCCAACTTTATAAATTCTGGTCAACGGTTCTGTAGAAAAACTAGACAAATTAATTCTTTTAAAAAACTGAAAATTTGTATAATATTAAGATTTACTGTTGTTAACCCGTTGACTGTCGATGACGCATATATGCGCAAAACTAAGACTGGCCAAAAGTGTTCATGACGCATATATGCGCAACTTAAAAAAGGTGATTAAAAACTTCTTAAATGTTCCTGAAACCGGTTACTCGGGGGTTTTCGAGGTCTCTGATTACGAATATGATATTCGTTTTCCAAAATTCAAAATGGCGGATCCAATATGTCGGACGACAAAATAAAAAAAATTGATTGAATTGACTTTAAACGTAATACTCGAGGGTTTTTGGGGTCGCTGATTACGAATCTGACATTAGTTTTTCAAAATTCAAAATGGCGGATCCAATATGACGGACGATAAAATAAAAAATTAATCAGATTGACTTGAAACTGAATACTCGGAGATTTTCAGGGATGCTGATTACAAAACTGAAATCAGTTTTTAAAAATTCAAAATGTTGGATCCAAGATGGCGGAAATTTTTTCAAAATTCGTCGAATTTGCTTGAAACTGGTTACTCGGGGGTTTTAAGGGCCGCTGATTACGAATCTGACATTAGTTTTTCAAAATTAAAAATGGCGGATCCAATATGGCGGACAACAAAATAAAAAAAATTGATTGGATTGACTTGAAACTGAATACTTGGGGGTTTTGGAGGTCGCTGATTACAAATCTGACATTAGTTCTCCAAAATTCAAAATGGCGGATCCAATATGGCGGACGACAAAATAAAAAAAAATTGGATTGGCTTAAAGTTACTTGGGGGTGTTAAAGATGAATTTGATTAATTATTAAATAAAAACAAATCTTTATTTTGAGCAAATTCAACTTTAACTGTATTGAAGATAATTTCAAAAGGTTAAATAGAATAAGACTCAAAACTTATCATCCCAAGGTAAACGTTATTTGCTTTTCGGGAACAAAATTTATATTCAAAAGGTAGTGGATCCCTCTTTTAGGTTTATTATTAATTCAATAACCCCGGTTAGACGGTATTTTAATTGAAAGAAGTAAAAAAAAGGATTAGGTGACAACAGTTAGAAAACCGTAATAAAACACTACTTGCAATATGATTCAATATATAGAATGCTCTCGTTTATTCAATTCTAAATGATTAAAATATTCATTTAAAAAAATATTATACAAAACAAGAATTTTACTAGATTCTAAATTCTTTGTGTTTATTAATGCATAATAGTTAGTATTGTGAAATATTCCTTTTATAAAATACAATAGAAAATTCTTTTTTATGCGTAATAATAATATAACATTAATGATATCCAATAGTTATTTTTTGTTTGTTTATAAAATAATAATTGTTATGTCTTAATACAAATCGTAATGTGTAAAAGTGTATAAATGTGTAAAGTATGTAATAATTAATAATCAACTCACCAACTTATAAATCTTTTATTTATATTAGAGACAGAAAAGTCTCCTGTTACTCTTTATAGGTGAATCACTCAGATTCATACCTGTAGTATATTCCTTATCAAGATTTTCTCTTCCTTGTTTCTTTTATTTCTTTTATTCTTCAATAGTTTTTATTTCTTCTTAATTATTTATGTTCAGTATAAGACTCTTTGCTTATCTTAATTCAAAATTATATCAAAATTGATTTTAATATTCAAAAATCGGGGTCACCGATTTTGAACTTTTAATCAACTCTGATATTTGCAGTAAAGACAATTACAAAAAAATGCTTTTATAATCGCGAGATAGAGGTTTGAAATTTAACACTCTGTCTTCCCTTTTAAATAAATCACTTTTATTTATTTTTTTAATAATCACCTTTTTTATAGTAATATTTTCTTTAAACAATTCTTTTTTTTTAATTTAACTTCTTTTTAACTTTTATTCCTTTTTAATGATATGGTAAATCACTTTTATCACTTTATTTCTTTAAAATTACCTATTTTTTTATATATAATCAAAAAATCATATAAATTATCAATTCACTTCAACTCAGTTTGATTAAAATCAACCCTTATTTTGGGGACAAAATATAAAACCTCCGCCTTTTGCGGGAAATAAGACTCAAAAATATAAAATCATCCGCTTTGCGGGAAAAACAAATTAACACTCTACCGATTTTCGGGAGGAACACTTAATTCTACGCAGCTTTACTGCGGGAGGAACAAATTCGGACTCATTAGTTAAAACGATCGAAAGTATGGATCACACCTTGAAATTAATATAAAACGATAGAGTGGGGATGCCGGTGCACACGGCTCGCCAAACTTCGTTGTTGCCAGGCAAGCTTTTTGCAAGCTTGCAAATTCCTTAAAATGGCGTGATATAGTTCGATGCTCTGTATCCTCTATTGCCAATGTTTAAGTGTATACTTTTTCTTTGTATTTTACCAATACAATTAAGAGTCTTTTCTGTGGAAAGTAACTTATAACAAAGTTGACAAATTCCTTTTGAAATAAGAGTGATGTCCATATTATTTCAACCAATTTTAGAATTATAATTTTAAAAATAATATTGAATGTTATTGGGAATGAAAACAATTGAAGAATGATTATCGTTATTTTTTAAGTTTGGATATAATTTAATTATGAAAAATAGTTTTAGGACAAATTAATTGATGAGTTAATTATGTAAAAATCCTCTTATGTCCTGATAATATGTGTATTGAGTACTTAATTCTATTTACAAAAGTCCCAAATTTTTAATGAAATTATACAATATAACAAATTTTTAATTAATGAAAAAATTAAAAATAGTTACGAAATCATACGTAACAGGGGGGTTTTAGTATTACGTAGCTGCATGCAACGACCCGTCTAGTATATAATCTAGTATATAAAAAAATAAAATAAAAAAATTTATAAAAAAATAGAATATAAAATCCTATGGCAGCCTCCTCGTGGTACATTCTAGGATCGTGAATTTAAAAAATTTAATAAACTATAAAAATGAAATTCACCAGCCAAGGTCAGGGTATTTAACAAAATTTGAGTTTTCTAAAAATTATAATACACACTAAAAAAAAAAGTTTTACTTTTAGCCTGTTTTCGAGGCTGAATTTAAGGT